ACGATGATGCTAACAATGCTGATAATGCTGATGACAATGCTGATGCTGCTGATGCTGCGGATGATGATGATTTTGCTGATGCTGCTGATGAGGATGTTGCTTATGATGATGTTTATGCCGATGCCGATGTCGATGATGATGATGATGATGATGATGATGATGATGATGATGGTGATGATGGTGAGGATGATACGGCTGGTGCTGATCATGCTCATGATGCTGATGATGATGCTTCTGATGCTGATGATGATGTTTAGGCTGTTGATGATGCTGATGGTGATGGTGGTGATGCTGATGCTGATCATGATGATGCTTCTGATGGTGCTGATGATGAAGATGACGATGATACTGATGTTGATGATGATGCTGATGGTGATGATGATGTTGATGCTGCGGTTGACGATGGTGATGATTACGATGGTGATGCTCATGCTGCTGCTGCTGATGATGCTGCTGCTTCTGATGGTGACGATGGTGCTGATGATGATGCTGATGGTGATGATGCTGATGATGGGACTGGTGGTGGTGATGCTGATGATGATGATGATGATGATGCTGATGACGATGCTGATGATGACGATTAGTATGATGTTGATACTGGTGATGATGATGATGATGATGATGCTGATGCTGATGATGATGATGATGATGATGATGATCATGATGATGCTTCTGATGCTGCTTCTGATGATGCTGATGTCGACGGTACTGATGATGATGCTGATGCTGATGATGGTGATGATGATGATGGTGATGATGATGATGATGCTGATGCTGATGATGATGATGATGATTCTGATGATGCTGCTGCTGATGATGATGATGCTTCTGAAGCTGCTTCTGATGATGCTGATGTCGATGATGGTTATGATGATGCTGCTGCTGCTGCTGACGATGATGATGATGCTGACGATGATTCTGATGATTACGTTGCTGCTGCTGCTGCTGCTGCTGATGATGATGATGAGGAGGAGGAGGAGGAGGAGGAGGAGGAGGAGGAGGAGGAGGAGGAGGAGGAGGAGGAGGGGAGGAGGAGGAGGAGGGAGGAGGAGGAGAGGAGGAGGAGGCGGAGGAGGAGGAGGAGGAGGAGGAGGAGGAGGAGGAGGAGGAGGAGGAGGAGGAGGAGGAGGGGAAGGAGAAGGAGGAGGAGGAAGAGGAGGAGGAGGAGGAGGAGGAGCAATAGGACAAGGAGGAGGAGGACGACGAAGAAGAAGAGGAGGAGGAGGAGGAGAAGGAGGACGGGAAGGAAGAAGGAGAAGACGACGGAGAAAAAAATGAAGCCGTTGAGGAGGATGAGGAAGAGGAGTCGGAGGAGGCAGTGGATGAGGATGATGATGATAATGATGATGTTGATGATGATCATGATGCTGCTGCTGATGATGATGATGAACATGATGATGATGATGATGTTGATGATGATGATGATGATGACGATGATGTTGACGATGATGATGCTGATGATGCTGATGATGCTGACGATGATGACGATGATGATGATGATGATGATGATGATGATGATGATGATGATGATGATGATGATGATGATGATGCTGATGTTGATGATGATGCTGATGGTGGTGATGATGTAGATACTGATGCTGACGCTGATGCTGCTGATGATGATGATGATGAGGAGGAGGAGGAGATTGTGGAGAAGGAGGAGGAGGAGGAGGAGGAGGAGTTGGAAGAGCAATCGGAGGAGGAGAAGGAGGAGGAGGAGGAGGAGTTGGAAGAGCAATCGGAGGAGGAGGAGGAGGAGGAGGAGGAGGAGGAGGAGGAGATGCCAACTCCTTCGCCTCTCGAAGGCGAGGGCATTTCTGGCACGCCTCGAGGCCGTGCTGGCGGCCGGGGGCCCTTTCGCGGGGAGCCTCGGGGAGCGGCACGCGCTTCGCTTCCACCGCCGCTTCGCGGCCGTTCTCGGTGCAAGTCAGTGGGCCTGTGGCCGCTGCTGTTCGGGGGCCTCTCCCCAGACATGCTCGTCTCGCGACAGGAGCCAAGACGGGTGGTTTTTGGCCGTCCTCGGCCTCTGGGGAGCCTCGTCGGGCCACAGGGCGGGAGAAATAATGACTCGCTGCGGAAAACGGGCCCAGGCCGGGCCGTCTGGGGACCCCGCCGTGAACAAATCAGAACATCGCATGTCTGGGTCCCAGCAATTCCTGATTTCCGGGAAACACCACTTGGCATCGCGTCCGATGTCCCTGCTTTTCCTTTTGCTCTCCACTATCCAAACGAGCACGCCGCTGGTTCCGGCCCACCACTCTTCGGCGCGACACGCTAACCATTTCCTGGCCCCAAGCGTCAACGTCCCGAGCCTTTCCCAGCCTCCCGTCCCGCGCTTGCACGGCTTAGCGTGTCGCCAGGGCAGCCCCCGCGACACGCTAAGCAAAAGTTCCTGACCGTACAGCCAGTGCGTTGAAATAAGGTGCAGCTCGAGGTCGGAAGGGGCTCGGCGGTTCCTTAGGTTTGCATGCTGTCTGTTGTTTTTGCAGTGGCCAGTCCCCTCCGGTATTCCTTCGGATTTGACGGCCGTTCCTCCGGATGTCACGGCTCGACTTGGAAAACAGATGGAAGCATTGTCTCGTGCTTCGTGCCAGCAGCCCGACTGCTGGCCGTTCTCCACCCCCGCGCGCACGGCCCAAACGTGGCAGTGGGACGCCCGCGCTTCCCGCCCGCGCCCCCGCTGGCCCCCGCCGGGGCTCCGATCGGCCGCTCTCGTCGCCGCGTGCCGGCGGCCGTCGGGGCTTGGCTTATGCTGCTCCCAACGTACTCAGGGACCACATCCCAGAAATGATCTCTAGCGCCCAGGAAAGTGTCGAAGCAGTGCCGAACGAGTATTGCCTCCTAGGGCCCGACACGTGAAAAGCCTGAAGCCTCGGTGCTCTCGTGGTGCTCGAGAAATTCTCTCTGGCGGTCAAGGCTAAAAGTATATTGGAACATCAGAAGGCTTGGCGCGGCCAGGGCTCCCACACCGTGCGGTGACGGACCGCGTGCGGTGACCTCCCCAGACATGCGACGTCCTAATTTTTTCAGGACGGCGTCCCTGGAAGCCCCGACCCTTTCCCCTGGACCGGTTTTTCGTCCCGAGTCGTTTTTTTTGACGGTCCCGAGGCCGCCCGGCGAGGGCCCCCTGCGGCCGAAAATAGCGAAAAACTGGCCGTCCTGATTGTTTTTATCGACGCGAGCATGTCTGGGTCGGGGAATCCCCAGAGGTACTTCGCTGCGCGGGCTCCTCCTTCTCTCTGCCTGGCCGGGGGCCCTCGGGAGGCCCCGGCCGCCCGAGCGCCGTCCCCAGAGCAGGACCCGAGTCCCAAAACCGTGCGGCGACCCCGAGCCCAGACCCCCGCGGGCAATACGGTGGAGGCAATCGTGAAGGAATAGTCCCAGGAGGCGCCAGACCCTGGAGGAGTCCCAGGGCGGCGGTGATATCCATAGCCGATCCACGATTGGAGTTCCACCGGCTTCCAGACCCTGGCTTCCTTATCGAATGGTTCCTTACTCAATTCCGCCACCGTGCAAAAATTACGGCTCACGGCGCCAACATCGCAGAGCGGATTTCGGTCGGAAAACGACAGAATGGGCCTGGGGTGTCCTGGAGAACTTCGTTCCGGATTTCGAGATGGATGACGCATTTTTTGTGGCCACGAATGAAGACCAACAAACATCCACGCGAAATTCCATTCGTTTTTCACTCGCCGTTTCGGGGTCTTGCATTAACAGAAATACAGGCGAAAATCCGCTGCGGCACGCCTGCAAGGTCGGTGCAGAGACACGACGGGAGGTTTTTCCTAATTGTCGGCCTCCAGAGGCGCCCTTCCGGCTCTCGGGGCCGTCAAAAGACGACTCAGGATGGAAATCGGGTCCCGGGGCCCAGGGGATAGGTCGCGACCTCTGGGGGTCGACGTTGTGGGAAAATCATGACGTTGGGGGTCCCCGACGTCGTGATGTTTCTTAACGTCGACCCCCAGAGGTTTTTCATCCAGAGCCGTTTTTGACAGCCCCGAGGCCCGGCGAGGGCCTCCAGAGGCCGAAGATCAGGAAGAACCGTCCGTCATGATTTCTTCATGACCCGCGGGGCTCTGGGGTCACCGCGCTGTTCGAGGTGCCCCTGGGGAGGGGCTCCGACGAAGCCCGGGCCGCCGCCGAGGAGGAGGAGGAGGAGGAGGAGGAGGAGGAGGAGGAAGAGGAGGAGGAGGAGGAGGAGGAGGTGGCACCGCATGGGGAGCCTCATCGCCCCGACGGTGCGGGCCGGTGGCCAGCGCGGGTCTCTGCGGGCTGGGTCGCGACCGGGAGGCCGCAGGCCCCGGGTCCGTCGCTGCGCCCCGCCTCCTCGCCCCGCCTGCCTGCCTCCTCCCAGGTGCTCCACGGGCTCCCTGCGCCCCTCTGGGACTTCCCTCCTCCTCGGGTCCGCCTCCTCGCCCGCCCCCTCCTCCTCAGCATCCTCCCGGCTCCCTCCCCTCTGCCTCCCCCCTCCTTCGCGTCTCCCTCTTCCCTCCTCCCCTATCTCCCTCCTGCCTCCTTTTATCTCATCCCTCTCTCCTTCCTCCGACTCCTCCTCCGACTCCTCCACCACCACGTCCTCCTCCTTTTCCTCCTCCTCCTCCTCTTCCTCCTCCTCCTCCTCCCCTTCCTCGTCCTCCTCCTCCTCCTCCTCCTCCTCCACCACCACCACATCCACCAAAAACCTGGGTTGTGCTGAGTCGGACGTGATCGGAGCGACTGCTCTGGGGTTCGTATCAGGCAGATGGAAAGTGACTGGTGGCGGCTTGATCCCCCCTATTTCCCTTCTTCGTTCGCCTCGAGCTTCGGTTAATTATCACCAGCCATGGCTCTGCGGTGTCATGCGAGAATGGTCCGCTTGATCAGGCTGCGGATCAACCAGAGAAGCCCGACCAGGCCCTGGATCAGCTAGCAGCTAGATCAGTTCGTGGCCTGGTCATCTTGGTCAATCCGACCGGGTCATAGATCAGCTCGGCCCCAATAAGCGGGGGTGGTGCGCTAAGACAATCATCATGACGACGGGGTATCAGTCGAAGATGGAGTCGCTGTGGCACGTGCTCCAGCAGAAGGACCAATCTCTTCTCCATCCGTTCTTCCGTCCATTCCCTCATTTGCTGGTCGCTCGTATTTCAGAGCGTCTTGATTGAGCACCCAGGTATACCCGACCCATGGAGCAGTTGTGTGAGCTGTCAGTCACGCAGACCTCTCTGGCTGGATGAGTGCGCGTATTTGCTTTCTTGTGCTGCTCGTGTGCGCACAGGCCGTGTTAATTTCTGGGGAGAGCAGTTGATATCAGGCCATTTCGGACGCGGGAATGCTGCGGATATGAGCTGGATGGGGCGAGTGGGTGCCCTGCCCGGCCGCCGCCGCCGCCGCCATCGCCGCCTTCGCCGCCGCCGTCGTCGTCATTGCTCTCGTTATCGTCGTTGGGGCGAGTGGATGCCCTGCTGGGCCGCCACCCGCCGTGGTCGTCGTCACCTTTGCTTGCCGCAACGGGTTGTGGCCAAGGGGAGGCATGCAAGGCGCTGATCTTCTGCGGAACGAAGAGGACGTGTGACGAGCTGTGCGACGCCCTGAAGTGGGGCCGCGGGTAGCGCTTGCATCGGTTGCGACATTCAATCGCAGGCCAATTTGTTCTCGAGTTGGCACCGTTGCGTCGCACGTCATGCAACGCGTCAGGTTTTGATTCCGTGTCCTGGCTGACACAAATACGTTCAACATTTGTCAGGTGCGGCGTCTTCGATGCCAGTGATGTGCCGCTGACCGTGTATTGATTGCAGATATTCCTCAGTTCAGTATCGGGTGGACATGTGGACGCATCTATATACATATATATATATATATATATATATGCAAGACTGCAGTGGCGCTTCGCGCCATGCACCTTGGTCCTTGAAGTTTGGTATGCAGGCGGAATGGCAGGAAGGTCAAGCCGACAATTTAGCGATAACCCCTTGTTGCCTTTTCCAGCTTCGCCGCTAAAACAATGTTGTTCGTTATCCGTCCTCCATGCTTCTTTTTCCTCATTCTCGCCATACCCGGCGCATGTTCCCCATCCTCCTCAGCTCTTTTTGCGAAGGCTCCTCCTTGGAGAGCCTCTGGGGGCCTCACAAAAGTTTCAGGCTTTCTTAAGGCCTTCTGGAAGCCTCCTGGGCGTGTTCTGGAGGTTCTGGGGGCTTCCGCGGGCCACCCTACCTCTAACCGCGGTGACCCTGAACGGGTCACGATTTGGAATGCTTCGGAGGGTGTCTTGGGGCCGTCTTGGGCCGCCATGGGGCTCTCTGAGGGCCATCTTTGACCCCTGTTGTGCCGTTTTGGTGCTCTCTTGGACTGCCTGGAAGCCCTGTCGGATGGTTGTGGGGCGATTTTGGAGCCTCCCAGGCGTCTTCGGACGCCCAGAAGACTGCCATGTTTGAGCGTCGGGAAGCCGAAAAGAGGAGAACCCCCAAATTTACAATCAAAAACACCAACAGAAAATCAATGATTGTTGCCTCTTGGGGCCTTCTTGGGAGTGCTCTTGGATGCTTTCTGAGGCCTCTGGGGCCGTCCTGGAGGCCTCTTGGGCCATCTTGAGTCACGTCGGTCACTCTTGGAGCGCTCTTGTGCTGTCTTGGGGATCTCTGGGGCGTCTCCGATGACCCCCCTGATCGCCCTAGGTGTGCTGGGAAGGCTTGGCAAAACGCCCTGCGAGGCCTGGGGGGCCGCTTCGAGGCCCGTCCGGAGGGTCCCACAGCCCCAGATCCTGGGAGTCCGGTTTTTGGGGGGTGGGGGTGGGGGGTTTCCCCCTGCCTGGGCTTATAAAGGTATAGGAAGAGGGATAAAGAAAAAGAGAGAGAGAGAAAGAGAGGACAAAATAATAATAAGAAGAGGAATCATAATAATAATAGTAGTAGTAATAATAATGATAATCATACTTATACTAATAATAATATCAATAATACTAACAGCAATAATAATACTAATACTAACAACAATAGTAATACTAATAAGAACAATAATAATAATGAGAAGAAGAAGCGAGATCATCTGTCGAACAGACGAATTGCAAGACGAGGCTGTGGAGGCAGTGTGTAAGCCGAGCGGAACGAGCGGGGAGTGACGGAGCCGTACGAAGCGACGGCCAGCAGCCAGGACAGCGGTCGGATGGGGCAGTGGGTTGCGTGCGGACATGCGCACCGCACACAGGATCAGCAGGGTGCTTCGCCCCACCCAAGCTTCAAGCAGCGCGGTGGGAGGCAGAATCGCTATGACTGCGCCGCCATCCACAAAAACAAGGACTACCATCTGCAGCTTGTAATGCACACAGTGTTCTTGACTGGCTGCAGGCAGGGAGGCATCTCTCTCGATCTGCACCCGCAGTGGACACCCTGTTTCTCTTCAGGAGGGTCCATCAGGTGGAGTTCCCGCGTCTTTCACGCCTGTTGTCCATGTTACTTTTGCCCCGTCAGTTACCTTAGGAGGAGGAGGAGGAGGAGGAGGAGGAGGAGGAGGAGGAGGAGGAGG